AATATATAATAAAATTTAAGAGAAAACATAATAAATATATAGTAAAAATTGTTAATAAAATACGACTAATAAAAATTAACTAATAAAATATAATAACATAAGTTTAACTAATAAAATAAATACTAATAAAATTTAATTATATTATAGTGGTTTCAGCTACTGCAGAAGGTAGTGTTACAAATCAAAAATCAAATTAATCAATTAGTTGTAAAGTTAACAACTAATTGATTTAAATTTTACAGACCCAACTTAGTCGATTAATTGATTAATTGACTAATTGATTAATTGATTGGCCAACTAATTGATTAATTGATTAGTCAATTGGTCAGTTAATTGGCTAGTTGATTGGTCAATTAAATTAACTAATCATATAAAAATATTGATCAGCATTTTAGTTACTACTTTACGTGTATTTTATCAAACTTTGTTTATTATTTATTCAACTAATTGATTAGTTGGCCAATTGATTAATTGATTATTCAATTAGCCAACTAATCAATTAGTTGAATAAAAACTGATTAATTGATCAATTAAATAAAATGATCTATTAACTAATCAATTAAAAATTTTTTCATCGATTTGTATTACTAGCAGAAGGTATTCAAAACCTAATCTGAAAATATGTAAAATATAGAAGAATTAGAGAGCATCTATTATACTCATCTGTAGAGACTCATAGATAACTAACAAGATAACCTAGTTTAGATAAAAGGATAGTAGAAAGCACTTTGATATAAAGATACCTAGTTTAAATAATTAGTAAATATGTATAATTTATAAATATTAAAATGTAGATCCATGTGGTTAATGATAAACATCAATAAAGCTTGGTCTTGAAGAACACCTTAAAAAAAAAAAAAAAAAGTAGAACCAAAAATTTGAGTTTAGGTTCAGTTCAAGTTCATAAATTTAAAATTCAGTTCAGGTTCAGGCTCAAAGATCTGCAAAATTTAAAGTTCAATTTAGGTTCAATTGTACCTAAACCTGAACCTAAATTGGACTGAACTGAACTTCGAAACACTAACAATAAAGTTTTAACTATATCAAACCAAGTATTGCCTCTTTACTATTCTCTATTTCTTTTTTTTTTCCTTTTCTTTTGTTTTAATTTTGGCTACTACTACTCTTTTCTGTAATCAGCACTGTCTTTTCTATGCTGGTAATCAGTGGGTTAGACGCGTTATCAAAGGAGTCCAAAAACTTTTTCGGGTTTAACATTGATTTGTTAATATGTAATTCGATTCCAAATACTCGGATCTGGTGACCGAATTTTAGTTTAAATTTCATAAATTCGCCGTGATGTAAAAGAGGATTCGAATTTAATCCAAATAACCTCAAATCAAAATACCGTATACATACAGTATATAGAATTGAAATCTATTCAATGTTGTCAATAGGCATGCATAAACAACAAGTATGGACAAAATATAAACATGTTATACTGTACAAAGAAAGAAATACTATTAACTCAAAGTTTTATCAACTTGATGTATTAAGAAAATGTATATACCAAATTTTACATATAACTAGGCTATCATAATTTGATAAATGTAATAATACATGATGTTGCACCTAATCTAATAATTTGATCGAGTCTATAAAAGATTGAGGTCATGGTCTAGAAAAAATAACGTTTGACATTTACTTTCGAATAGATTCTTCTAGTTCATTACTTATATATCCTTTGTTACATTTTGTTCCAATTATATATGTTTAAGAAATTTTTTCAAATACAATATGTATGTAAATCCTATCCGGCCCGGACTTGATTCTTAAAAAATATCCGTATCCGAGATCATTGTCTTTGTTATGATTTATCATAATCAGTTAAAAGCTTTCGCTTTGTAACACTTATATAATGATTTAATGCTTCTTTCCTATAAATTATTATTTGGAATGGTGGATATTTTTATCGATATTCTTTTCAAAAATTGAATAGTTCTAGGTTCTTTTCAGTGTTAATAAATTGAATCTCTTGAAGTATAGGTGACGTATTCTAAAATCAAATATCTGAGGAATAGACTTTTGAATCTGATATATAGTCATTCGTAATACTGACTCTTTAACTTTAAAACGCGTTTAAATCACAAAGTAATATTATGTGCATTAAATGGTTAAAGTGAACGTTATACAAGTGACTTTATTATTTCAGTCTTTTTATTAAAGGGTGCAAGATTAAATAAAAATAGCTATCTCAACTATTACTGTACTACAGTATTAGCGATTAACAGCTCTTTATATAAAATTTTTGCGAACGCTAAAAAAAAAAGAAAATATTACGCGCAAATTAAGCAATAATTTTTTTTCGCAATTTCAAAATATTCGCTATGTAAAAATTCTTTATCTCGAGCCTTAACTGTCAAAAAATTACTAAAGAAAAAATATAGTAATAAATTTTATTACGAATGATCTCAAGCAACGTCAGGTGCAGGTGTTAACATCAACTATGACATCAAAATTACGAAATCATCATGGAAAATATAATGAAAGCAAATTAAGTTATTTGGATTTTATGGAAATTCTTCAAACTATTTATTTTATTCGTGTTGATTAGTCTAAAAAGTTATTTGCATTTAAATTTATGAGTCGCGCAAATAACGTGTAGCGAATATAGTACGAGTGATGAATGGTGTTAAGGCATGGCTAATTATTATTATTTATTGCCACTGCCTGCCTCCCGTGCGCGTGGATTGTGCCTTTATGTTGAGTATGATCTAGCTCGCATCTGAAAAGCTGTTTAAACATAACGTTACAAAATTTAGGGTGGATTTCAAACGTCTATATATTCATAGCTTAAACATAAAACAAAGTTACCTTGCCACAACATTCATAAACCTCATGAACCGTGGTACGTTGGAGGTGACTTTCCAAATCTTCAATACGTCGAAATTTCCTATCGCAGTACCCACACTAATGGAGGCAAAAAGGATTATTTAAAATAATTTCCAACTGTTATTATATTATCAAAATTTATGTTCATATGGTTAACTATACTAATCATTAATGTACTTAATCACTATCATGATGTAATTACCTCTTTTTCTTCAATCATTCTAAAATAATCAATATTCGATTTAGTTGCAGAGAAAAAAAAAAAAAAAGCACTATCGAAAATAGAAATTTTTATATACTTTATTAACCAATTACTAAGACGAAAGCGCTTTTGCGCTTTATGCACATTAAGGAGAGTACCGAGGTCAATATTAAGTCGACGATTGATTTGTTTTGCTTGTCTCTGTTGAGGTTGGGGCGGAGGTGGTGGAGCTGGATTTACTCGAACTGGATTTACTGGATTTGCTGGACCTTGATTTCTGTGATCCCCTTCGTCCTCATCATCTGAATCCATAAATATATCATCTCCTTTAATAGTAATATACAGAATCAGGTTATTTGATAATTAGGAAATATAGAATGAAAAAGTATGCATAAACGTAAAAATATACTTCTGCCTCCAACGCCTACAACATTGATACGAATTTGCCGTTGAAGTTGAACTTGTTGCTCTTGTTGGGCTACTAATTCACGACGAGCACGTTCCTATAAACAATCAGTAATAAAATTGTGTTATTCAAATGAAAAGCATAATAAACAGTGTAAGCATTATTACTTTACCTCCAATAACATATTTTCATCCCATAATTCACATCTTTGTGTACATCTCTCTGCCGTGCGATTCCAATCTGAACCACAAACATAGCAACTGTAAAAAGCAAATTTTTATATTCGGAATTATTATTGAACTATAAATATAAATATATATATATATATAACTCACAATTCAGCTTTGCATCTACAAGTAATATGATTACATCCTGTTTCTAACTGAACTAACATGTTACATTTAGGACAACGTTGCCAACGTTCACTTTTGGCTAAATTGAGTACTTCACGGTCTTCTGGAGAACGTTCATGAGGAGGAAGATTCTGATACTCCCTACATGTCAAATCTTAAAAAGAATGAAAAAAAAATTTTTAAAATATTTCAATTAAATTTTTATAAATATCAGTTGTTACTTACTTTTGTGCCATAGAACCTTGCATGACGGGCAAAATATCTCGTGACACATTGGACACGGAAGAGGATAAACTGGCAGAGCCTCATCTTGTTCATAATCAATCAATGCACTGCATTTTTTGTTTGGACAATATATTTTGTTTTTAATGTTGGACACTGCCATTTTTAAATAATAATTTTCCAGGTCTTCTTTTGCCAACGAATTTTCTACCACTCTTTCAGTAATTTTTGCATCAACACACTTCAATGGACATTTGATAGGAAATTCCACAACTTCATCTTTAAGCACAGAATTTAAGTAATGTTTCATGCACGCCAAACAAAAACCATGTTTACAATCCAAAATAACGCCCAAATTGGCACTGCTGGTCGCCATTTTATCAAGGTTTCCATTCAAATTAAAAGTTGAGAACTTGTCATAACAAGAATTGCATTGATGGTTTCCTTTAGGTGGATTTAATATTTTTTCTCGAGAATTAGTTGTGCCATCGTCCGTCGAATCGTGAACAACTTTTCCTTTGCCTTTGCCTATTGTCCCAATCCCAAGAGCTTAATTTATTATCGAAAAAAAAAAAATGTTATTGAGAACAAAAATCCAAAGTACCAACGGACCATTCACGTTATTATCATTCAACGATAATTCAGTTTCACAGAACCTACGTTTGACAGGCTTAATATGCGCACAAAATAATTATAAATGTGAGTTTGAAATTGACAAGTTTTGTTTTGTAAATATTTTAAGTATTAAAGATTACGCAATTATCATTAAAATTCTTACCGCATTCTGCGCTGCCAGTACTTCGCGTTTACGTTTTTTTTCATCCTACAGTAAATTATAGCATGATTTCTCGTGCAATGATAAAACTTTTTATTACTTATTAATTTTTATTACTACTAACCACTCGATGATCATGGGTAACTTTGCCGATTTTGCTTTCATTCTATAAAAATCGTAGCTTAGTTACGCGTACCTCAACCTTTTTATTCATTGTTAATAATTAATGACTAACCTCCTTATCAGAATCGGAATTCTCTTGATACGATTTTTCATCCTATAAGAAGTTTAAGCATGATTTCTTAAATAATATGGTCTTTAATATTTTTAATTTTTTATGTCATTGATGTGTTATTGCTAACCTCCGAGTCTATGTTTCTAAAGTGTAGTCCGTAAGAAAACTTGCTAGACATTTCCTCATACTGTAGAGAGTTATAGTTTGTTACTCGTATTAACCACAATTGAGTTGGTAGCATTGTTAACGTATTGTGACTAACCTCATCATCTGTGTCATTATAACCAAAATCTTGACTGCTATCGTTATAACTAACCTCCTTATTTGTATCGTATCCTTCATCATCATGATTAACATCTTGGCTAGTAGAATAATCTTCGAAATCGTCCATCTCTTGATTGGAATCGTAACCTCCATCATCAGAACTAATATATTCATTGGAATCGAAACTTTCAGTATCATAATCAACTTTTTTATTGAGATAATCCTCGGCATTGTCATAATCTTCATTACTGAAATCGAAATTTTCTTCTTCATCGTCTTGCACGGTATCAGAGTCTTCATCGTCAGAGTACTGAAACTCACATGAACGTATATTGGAAACTTCATCATCCTATAAAAAGGTTTATTATGTTGGTTGTTCAACTTTTAAATCATTGTTTGTATTATGTTAATACATTATCGACTGACCTTTTTTATCTGGTCAATGTCATATCCGTCTTCGTCAAATTGTTGAAGTTTAAGAGCAAACTTATTGCCATTTTTTTTTAAAAAAGTTTAATGTATTAAAGCGAGTTACACTTAATGGATAAAGATAACACGTTAAATAATATTATATTTAAAATTACTTCATGATCTCGTTGTTTTTGTTGTTCAGTTTTAAAATATTCTGAAACATATTTATTATCTGCCGCGGATATCAATTGAGAAGCTTGAAAAGCATATAGATCGGACAAAATGGTGTTTCCAAAAAGAGAACGAAGTTTGTTTTCATCGTCGTCATCATCATCATAATTTCTTTTAGCTTTTCCTTTAGACATCATTTTAGTAGCTTCAATGGCTTCACGGAGCTAGAAAAATAGATAATTTTATGATCAATGATAATATAATTGACAAAATTAAGAGATAATTAATTATGACAAACCTGCAATTCTTCCGCATATTCCGTGTCTCGCTAAAAGATGAAGAATAATAAATTGTTATATGTCTATAATATCAAGCATTATAATTTCGAAAAGCCTAAAAATAAATACTTCATATGATGACATTGCAGAAAGAACTTCGGCAATAGCCCACAACTCTTCTTCTTCGGACTGTATAGCATTACCAGAAATATTGATGGGACTACGACTATGAGTGGATTGGGTTGCTACCATTTCAAAAGAAACAAAATTTTATGAAAAAGGTACGGTGAGAGATTCGAGAAGCCAAGCAAATATATTTTTTTTAAGATGTGGCGCAGATCCTGATTTATGTTACACAACGCTACATTCTGATGTAAACACATCCGAGGCGACGCGTTGATTTCGTGATATGGTTTAAGTCACATGACGATCGTTAATCTCACTTCCGAGCCAAACTTTATCTTGATAAGTGGTCAATCATTTACTATTTACAATTACAATTACAATTATCGTTAATTTATCCATTTTAAAAGTTTGAAACGCACTAGTGCTAATTTTTATAATGACCATTTATGACCAATCTATCACTAGAAAGTTATAGTATAAGAAATCAATTTATTCAATTTTCACGATACGAATGTACGTACATACGTACGTACGTAATTTAAATGCTACAATTTCAAGGTGACAATGGGAACCTAACCAATCAAACAGACAAGGATAGCTGAATGAGATTGGTAAGTCACGGTTAGATTTTTTATACCGTATATATTATACAATTGGTATAATACCCGTATAATACCAGTATTACCGTACCGCACTGCCTTTAGTACCCCCTATTTAATACCCCCTTCAAATAATACCCGGATACATTACAAAAAAAAATCTCGAAAAAATTGTACGTATAAAATCCGGGTATTAAGATTTAATAGGTTTAATTGAAAATTATTGAAGCATAATACAACCATGTCACAGTACCCCCCAGCTTGTGTACCTACTCTTGGTTAAATGCCCAGGGGTATATTGCCATGTATAATACCCTTCTTTTGATAAGACCCGGGTACTAAAGGCAGTGCGGTACGGTATACACAGAGAGTATATGTATAATACAGTACCAATAATTAGAAACAATTTTCGGTTTATTTGAGAACACGAAGATTTCCGATTTAAACAAGATTTTTGGAATTTTCCGAAAAATTCCGGACCATATTAAACTATAGAAGCAAAATAATGGTTACCGTATTATATAGTACTGTAGTATTATACGGTATTATACGGTATTATACCTGGTATAATACAGTACTATATACCATTTTTACGTATTATACCGGCATAATTAAAGCCCTAATCACGGTTAGTTAATCCTGATCATGCTATGATTGCTAAGTCGAAATAATAAAATAAATGCAAAGTTTATTATACTAAAATGTTACAATAACGAAAGTTCATTAGAGGCATGAGAATTTTACGAAAAACAAAAATCTTATTCGTAATGTTTATTGTTATGTTGCAAGTGGAAATGGAAGATAAACAGGTTTGGAGCCTATTTAGATTAAAACAGGATAAGAATAACTATATATGTTGTAAATGTATAAACGGAATCTGTTTAGATTGGAACAGAATAACTTAATTTACCAACCATACTAAAAATTCTAATCCTACCAATCCTACCTTAAAAAATTCAGAATCAACGACATATTTTCATGAAAGATTATCTAAAAACAAATCATCGTCTTAAAGTATCATTTCGAAGTGGTCAAAGATAAATTGCAGCTTCCATCAGCCCAGCAAAATGATACAACCGCTGTTCCATTTTTATTAAAAAGGATAATACACAATTATACACAAGAAT